AAAAAAAAAAAAAAAAAAAAAAAAAAAAAAAAAAAAAAAAAAAAAAAAAAAAAAAAAACTACTCCTATTTCTACCGGTTGTATAAATTTTAAATTCAAATGTGGAAAAAGAATTATGATAATTGCTCCTTAAAGCAGGTTTGACCAAAGAAAATTGTGTTACATGCCCGTAGCCACGTGCCTGCATTTCCCTATTTTTTTATTTCACATAATTACAAAGATAAAAGTATTTGAACCTTCAAGGTATTTGCATGTCTATTGCCACGACATAATAAAAAGATTGAGAAAAATAAAACAAAGAATATAAATTAAGAAAATAAAAAACCCTATACACATATGGAAATGTTTTCCCCCTCCTTCCCAGTGGGTTAGTAGTGGTTGAATGGTGATATCATTAATTGTCCCTACTGTAAGTGGAAAGAGATATTTCCCAAATTGATGGCTAAAAAAACCCCGAAAATGGCGACGAAGAAAGTTAAGAAAGAAACTTCCACACGCAACACATCACATGTGTTTCATATATGTGTATGAAGGGCAAGTATAAGTAAGTAATAGGGAGTGTTTGACTTAGGACTAAGGTATCAAATTAGTGTTTGATGCATAAGATTGTCTGCCAGAAGCAACAAATTTACTAATTGCAATACCTTTTATACTATAAACTAGATTTAAGAACCATAATCTCATGAACAAAATTGAAGGTTAAGTAAACAATGGTATAACAAACTTAGATTACTTGTTAAAATAGTAGCCAAAACAGTGTCACATTTATTATTTATATATGAACATGTTTTGGTTGAATAAAATTGTAGCTCTAAACTTTAATGTGATCGAGGCTATGGTACCTTGCGACACCTCTGTACTTCGAAACACCGCGAGAAAAGCCGCTACTCTTCCTGTTAATTGAACTCGTAAAAATGGATAAGGATTCTATTTTGAAGTTTCAGATGAGAATAAAATGGTTATTACCTTCTCAAGTATCTAATATACTCTTCTCTTGATTGGCCTTCCATTTCTTTAAGCTCGTCTTGGTACGTTAATCGCTGCAAATGATCAAATCGGAGAATAAACACAGCTTCAACCAATTTCCTAAATTCCTAATTTACATAGCCGAAAGAAAAGCAAGTGAGTGCAGAACAACGATCAATCGATTGGAAAATTACTGGAAAGTTAATAACAGTTTCAGCTCCCCAGTACTTGAGCGCTGCAAGGTCGTATGCATGAGCCGCCGCTTCTTCATCATCGTACGCTCCTGTAGATCAGAAGTAAACAATAGCACACATACTTAACCCGATCGAAGCTCTGTTTCAACATTAAATCACAAGTTCAAGTTTCAATCGCACACCATACCTAAATACACTGCGTCGATTCAAAATTCCATCAATATGCCACGCACAGCAGTACAGAGGCATGAATCAAATTAGAATCGCCTCAACTTACAGATTCAAAAAGAAAAAACAAACAGATAACTACAGAACCTTGTCTTCCTTTCTTATTCTGTCCTTCATTCCAAAAATTCTTATCCCACAAGTGCGCCTCATACCGTCCCGTCCATCTATGCCTATAGCAAACCAAATAGATTCAAGCAAAAGAAAAAAAAAAACATAGAAAACAGAGAGAACT